GTAAGTGTCAGCCTGGGTGTATACACATGTGTATTCCCACACCAGGTGATTGCCCCTTTTCCTTGAGCATATTCTGAGGTCATCAGGGCAAAGTGCTGGGTCATCTGGATTTTGGTCCCCAAGAATGCGAGGTTTTCTCTCCGCTGGGCACTGAGCTGAAATAAGTCTCCTCTACATGTCATTAATCTCGTTGTGTATTGCATGCCAGCCCTTGGAGCTTCTGCAGTGCAACCCATGCAATCCATATTGGTCTGCTTCCACCCTGTTGCAAATACACTTGTATTCAGTGTGAATTGGGGCACCAAGGCGGAGAACCACTGCTACATGAAGGGATTTTGGATCTAAATGTGTTCCCATTACCGACATATATACTGCCAGAAGGAAGTCTCCTGCTTTGGGAGGGTGGGGGGCATGCACTGCTCTGAGGCAGGCTATCTCCTACTCTGATGTTGCAGCGCTGAGCATGGCATCAGTTTTTTTTTCACTAGTGGGTGGTTCCAGCTGGACTGTTCATGTTTTTAAGTTGGTGTTATGATGTGGCTGCAATGGCATCCCACTGATTTGAACATTCAGTGAGATCGCGTATTCCTGATGAATCACTCAGGGGTTCAGGTAGGATATCTCTTACAAGGTCGTACAATGACTGGGAAGAGGAAAATATAAATAGTAAAAAAATCTGGGAGGCTGTGCGGACAAAGTGAGGGTTGCTTGCTCCCATTGAGAGTGTGCAATACACCATCACCAGATCTTTAAAAGGACCGTGCATCAGGCGGCTAATTCACGACGCTCCGTCCCCAAAGACGCCAGAGTTCGATGATTCATAGGAGAAGTAGTCAGTTTATATATGTATATGTATATATATATATATATACATATATATATATATATATATATATATATATATATATATATATATATATATATATATATATATATATATATATATATATATATATATATATATATATATATATATATATATATATATATATATATTGGTGTATACTGGCAGCAGGTTTTCTTTCAAACATGTTTCATTGAATATGACCGCATATTCTGTATTTATTATTTTCTGGTTTAGGGCTTCTATCCCTCTAACTATTTTCTTAGCATCAGGGCTTAATTGAAATAGGAGTTCTCCAAAACTCATTTTCGCACTTTTAAGGTGAAGAAAAGAAGTAATTTACTATAGAGTGTATTACACTTATTTGTATAATTTGCACGACGTTTCGAACCTCCATGGTTCATTCTCAAGTGAACAGATCTTACAATACTAGTTGATTTTATACCCGCATTAGGTCAGGTGATAATACAATGAAGGTGAAAACATGGGGGGATACATAAGGGATAAACATAGGGGCTGCAGAAGGCTTATTGGCCCATTCGAGGCATCTCCTATCTAAACACAAAGATTAATCCAGTGTAGTTGGCCTGTTATGTTGGACATTGTCTTCTGTGTTGGCATCGATATGTTCTTGTCTTGTCCTTACTCTCATGGTGGGTAGAGTAAATAGTTCCGTGATTTGGGTGTTCATGGTAGGTCGCTCTATTCTTATGTGAATTGCCTCAAGAATTTGTAATCTTCTTGAATCTTGGGTTTTGTCTATTATGCAAGTATTCTTGTTCAACATTTCTCTTGTTAGAGTAATGTCAAGGGTTTGTCTCATGTGATTCCTAGGGGAAGTAGGAATCAGTAGGAGTAGAAATAAAAAATTTATTTTGGAGAATTGATTTTTGAATTACCAAAAACAGTGAAAAGAAATGTACGAAAGATAGAGAAAATTCGTGTTAGAATTATTAATCTTACTTTTTCGATCATATTTAATAATATATGTCTACAGGAAAGACTGCTACCAAAATATACTAATATATGTATATATATATATATATATATATATATATATATATATATATATATATATATATATATATCTATATATATATATATATATATATATATATATATATATATATATATATATATATATATATATATATATATATATATATATATATATATATATATATATATATATATATATCTATATATATATATATATCTATATGCAGAATAACCACATATGAAAAATAGAAAATGCTTAACGCGTTTTCGGCTAATTCGCCTTCATCAGAGCAAAGTAGAATGAAGATAAGTTTGCTGATCAGACCTTTATATCCGCCTGGGCAGATCACCTGACCACCAAAAATAAGTGGAGGAAAGGAATTATAAGAAAGAAGGTAACTGCAGAAGGCCTATTGGCCCATACAAGGCAGCTCCTTTTAATATCTCCAAGTGCCATACGTGTTTAAATTTTATTTAAACACGTATGGCACATTTAAACACGTATGACACATTTAAACACGTATGGCACTTGGAGATATTAAAAGGAGCTGCCTTGTATGGGCCAATAGGCCTTCTGCAGTTACCTTCTTTCTTATAATTCCTTTCCTCCACTTATTTTTGGTGGTCAGGTGATCTGCCCAGGCGGATATAAAGGTCTGATCAGCAAACTTATCTTCATTCTACTTTGCTCTGATGAAGGCGAATTAGCCGAAAACGCGTTAAGCATTTTCTATTTTTCATATGTGGTTATTCTGCATACTTGGATCAGTGTTTTTGTGATCATTGTTGCATATATATCTATATATATATATATATATATATATATATATATATATATATATATATATATATATATATATATATATATATATATATATATATATATAGAAGGGGGTACCACCTCTGGTGCAAATGTAGGGACCCATAGCCTCGGAGAAGAAAATAAAGAGTATTCAGAGAAGACCTTGTGGATCCTCACTGAACACTTTGATATTTTCTTCTCCTACCACCCCTATTCTTTTGTTAAGTGTGTATATTTATCTAACTTTATTTGAAAATGTCATTACACAAAAAAAGTTACTATATTGATTACATACAGGGTACAAGGCTGCTTGTCACAAGTTGGATAGCTCCTCCAGCTCCTCAGATGGCGGGCAGGAACCATGGATGCAGTGAGCATTTCCTCTCTGGATCGCCACACTAAGGCGCTGAAAAAGAAAACTGGCAGCTCTAGGGTCTCTAGTTGTTTCGATTAGCTTAGACCCCAACTCCTTTAAAAAGCTAGCAGCACTTTTACCCCAGGCACCAAGTGTCTCTGAGGCAATGGGGACAAAATTGTAGTGGTGCTCAAGGTCTCTGTATTTACGTGACTTGGCCGCTTCCCGGTGATTGGCAGCTCCTCCTGCTTGTGTAGCACTGAAGTCAACATAGGTATTGGCTAAAGTTGAAACGCAAGTGTAGTCCCACACCAACTGTCTACCATTCTTCCAGGGGTTCACCGTAATTCCGTCTGGGCGACCGACAGGCTCATCAGAGTTGCGGGACATTAGGTAACGGGGCTCTCTCTCTGCTGGACAACCGGCTGTGGTAAGGCTTCTCTTAATAATGTCATTAACCTCGCCGTGTCTTGCATGCCATCCTCCCGTCCTTTGGCAAAGAAGGCCATGCCGTCCATATCTGTCGGCCTCTGCCTCGCCGCAAATACACCTGTATTCGGTAGTTGAAAATTATTTTTCAACTACCTAACCTAACTTTTTCGGCTACCTAACCTAACCTAGCCTATAAAGATAGATTAGGTTAGGTTAGGTAGAGTTGGTTAGGTTCGGTCATATATCTACGTTAATTTTAACTCCAATAAAAAAAATTGACCTCATACATAATGAAATGGGTAGCTTTATCATTTCGTAAGAAAAAAATAAGAGAAAATATATTTATTCAGGAAAACTTGGCTTATTAGGCAAACTGGGCCTTGCATAGTAGGCCGAGAAGTGCGTTCTGGCTACTAGGTACGACATATATATATATATATATATATATATATATATATATATATATATATATATATATATATATATATATATATATATATATATATATATATATATATATATATATATATATATATATATATATATATATATATATATATATATATATATATATATATATATATATATATATATATATATTTATATATATATATATATATATATATATATATATATATATATATATATATATATATATATATATATATATATATATATATATATTTATATGTAATTGACGATCACAAAACACTGATCATTTTATGCGGAAAATCCACAGAGAAATATGAAATGAGGTGAACGTTTCGGCTTGTTAAAGCCTTTGTCAACACCAGACTGACTAAAGGAGAAGGGAGAAGGGGGGAGGATATATAGGCCGACACCTAAACAACCCATCCCTAGGGAAAGAATTAACCAGAAACAGGTATAGCTTAGCTTAGAATGGTCAAAGAGGATTAAGCGGTCAGAGAATAAGTTATTATAATAGAATAAGAATAAGTTATCCATTTTTAAGTTATAATATTGCACAACAGTTTAAGAAAAAACTTTGATAGAGGTTTACAATGTCTCATTATAATTTTATATTCATATATTGTGTGTTCATGACGCTTTTCTTTAATCTTTCATCCTTATTCTCTGACCGCTTAATTAATCCTCTTTGTCCATTCTAAGCTAAGCTTTACCTATTTCTGGTTAATTCTTTCCCTAGGGATGGGTTGGTCAGGTGTCGGCCTATATATCGTCCCCCTTCTCGCCTCTCCTTTAGTCAGTCTGGTGTTGACAAAGGCTTTAACAAGCCGAAACGTTCACCTCATTTCATATTTCTCTGTGGATTTTCCGCACATATATATATATATATATATATATATATATATATATATATATATATATATATATATATATATATATATATATATATATATATATATATATATATATATATATATATATATATATATATATATATATAATATAATATAATATAATATAATATAATAAACGAAACGAACAATCTTCATTGGGTTCCCCAAGCCAATCTGCAACTCAAAACTCCTCACTCCGGAAGGATTCGTCTGTCCTAAAATTTTGTTTGTCCTTAATTGTTCCTATTACCTTGAGAACTTGTGAGGGAAGAGTGTGAGGCTGGAGGTGAGGGCGAGGCCTCGGTGGGGCGTCCAGGAGGCCACCTTCAGCGTCTGGGCTCCCCAGGGAGTGTACGGCTCCTGGAGGTACACTCCACACCTGTACACAAACACCTGGTCACCAACAGTTCCACAACTATTTCTTATTTATTTCTCCCTCTCTTAGTAATCTTTTATAAAATTTCATTGTTCTGATCATATAGAAACGGGATAGTTTTATTTCCTCATAGTGTAACTTTGCAATGAGTAACTTACACGGTACATGGCAAGTAACTTAACACAGAGTAACTTTCAAAGTAAGTGGCAAGTAACTTAACACAGACTAACTTACATGATACATGGCACGTAACTTAAGACAGAGTAACATATATGGTAGGCAACAAGTAACTTACCTCAGAGTAACATACAGAAAACGCAAGTAACTTAACACATTTACAGTTAAAACACAAATAACACACAGTTATAACACATACAACACCCAATTATAACACATATAACACCCAATTATAACACATATAAGACACAGTTATAACACATATAACACACATTTATAACACATATTATAACACACAGTGTTATAGGTGGCCTGGGTTAGGGGCCTGGTAGCCTGATGGATAGCGCGCAGGACTCGTAATTCTGTGGCGGGGGTTCGATTCCCGCACCAGGCAGAAATAAATGGGCAAAGTTTCTTTCACCCTGATTGTCCCTGTTACCTAGAAGTAAATAGGTACCTTGGAGTTAGTCAGCTGTCACGGGCTGCTTTCTGGGGTGTGTGTGTGTGTGTGTAGTGTGGAGAAAAAAAATTAAGAAAATAAGTAGTTAGTAAACAGTTGATTGACAGTTGAGAGGCGGGCCGAAAGAGCAAAGCTCAACCCCCGCAAACACAACTACGTGAATACATGATGGGACATGATATATAATCATGGAATACATGATTATATATAACATATATAATCCTAACAAACTGACAGAAGACCCAGACATGAATACTATAGAAACAACATGGCTACCATTAATATAACAGAGAGAGCAGCTTATGTCACTAGCAGGAAAGGATCCAGACTACTAATCATGGGAGACTTCAACCGAGATTGGGAGAACAGAGAACCACATGGAGGGCCGGACACATGGAGAGCTAAGCTGCTGGCACATGGAGAGCTAAGCTGCTGGACGTGGCAACAAGAAACTTTCTATGCTAACACATCAAGGGCTCGATAAGAATGAGAGAAGACGAACCAGCAATCCTTGACCTGATATTCACTCTGAATGAGTCCAAGTGGTTGAGCACCATTCTTTCCTCCTGTCCCATCATGGATCCTTATCATGACCACTTCCCCATGCGATATAGTCGTAATGGCTTGGCACGTTCTCCTGATATTTCCCTTTCCTTCACCCTGAATGAGTCGGATATAAAGAAAGTTTAGTTGGAAGCCTCCTTGGGAATGAGTGATCACAGTGTACTAATATTTGAGTACCTGAATGAGCTAGGAGTAATCTCCCCCAAAAAGAACTAGTGTGTACCGAAAGGGGAAGTTATGTTCGGGGTGGTGTACCAAAAGGGAAGTTATGAGATAAGAAAATTCCTAGGGGATAAACCATGGGACACAAAACTCAGAACTAAGACAATACAAAACATGACTGACTATGGCACCCATAAGTGTCAGGAGACAGTAAACAGTGTTTTTTTATTTATTTATTTATTTTATTTATTTAAACAGATATTCTGTTTCTGATATACGTAAATGATCCGAGAGGGTATAGACTCATTTCTCTCAATGTTTGCTGAAGATGCCAAAATTATGAGAAGAATTAAGACAGAGGACAGCTTGAGGCTTCAAGAAGACCTAGACAATCTGAAGTAATGGTCCAACAAATGGCTATTAGAGAGGAAATTTGAAAGATGAAATTCTTCTAGAATCAGAGAGAAAGACTTGAGGGATTGATATCATGCCGGACCTGTCCCCCCGAATCAATATCAAGAGGATGCCCTCAGCGGCATATGCCAGATTGTCCAACATAAGAACGACCTTTAGAAACTTTTGAAAGGTTTCATTCAGAACCTTGAATACTACGTATGTAAGACCAATCCTGGAGTATACAGCTCCAGCATGGAGTCCATATTTCGTTAAGCATAAGACTAAATTGATAAGGTTCAGAGCTTTGCCACCAGACTAGTGTCCGAATGAACTATATGGAGAGACTACGGGGATTAAACCTTAAGTACAGAAGAGTTAGGGGGGGACATGATCATCACATACAAGATTCTCAAAGGAATAGATAGTGTAGACAAAGACAGTTTATTTAACTAAAGTGGCACAAACACCCTAAAGGACACAGGGGAAAATTTAGTGCCCAAACGAGCCATAGAGACATTGGACAGATTTTTTTTTAGTGTCCGATTAGTTAATAAATGGAATGCGTTAGGCAGTGTTGTGGTGGAGGCTGACTCCATACAGTTTCAAGGGTAGATATGATAGAGCCCAGTAGGCTCAGGAACCTGTACATCAGTTGATTGACAGTTGAGAGGCGGGACCAAAGAGCCGAAACTCAATCCGCACAAACACTACAAAGAGAGCTCCAGTTATCTACTCACCTAGTACTCTGTACTCGGTGCGTACAGAGTAACTTATACGGTAAACGGCAATTAACTTAACAGAGGGTAACTTATACAGTAAGCGGCAAGTAACTTATGTTATGATCTCAGCCTGCAGGAGAAACGAGTCTCCCCCCCTCCCCCTTGAGAGTTATTCAACAAGCCTGACCTAACTAGGAAGTATAGGAAATATAGAGGCAAAGACACAGATGTAAAATAGTTTGTTGGATTTAATGAACAATTTAAGATTATGGGCATTAAATAAGGAAACAGATAATTGACTGGTTAGGAGATGTGGATATTTTGCTGGAGGTGTGAGGCTCACTTCTGGAGGGCTTTGAGCTCACTTGAGCGCCAGACATCGCAGGGAAAAGACGCGCTCCGTTTGAGCTCCCGTCAGACAGGAACCCCTAGTGATATATCTCCAAGAGAAGAGAAGTGTGTAGACGTGCCAGCTGTGGAATTGAGCTGGGAACGTTGTGGTCTCAAGTCCTAGACGGCGAGGAGAGTATTAAGCCGCCCAGAGAAATTTTCGTGGGCTGTGTGGAGCACCCTGACCAGACGCCGTCAGAGAGATAGCGCCCTCGACTAGACAATCTGCGGATTCTCTTTGGGGAAGAAGTTGCTGAGAACTTCGAAGCCAGCACAGAGGGAGTAGTTGATGAGACTCCAAGGTAGTGGAGGAGAGGACCTCGAGCTGTGAGGAGAAGCAGTGAAGAGGAGTGTCATGTGCTTCTGTAGAGGTGGTGAAGCACCATAGTTGCTCAAGGAAACTTCATGGTGTAGCAGCCAAGAGAGCTGTGGAGGAACCTAGCAGAAGGGTGAAGCACCGTAGTTGCTCGAGGAAAACTTCATGGTAGCAGCCTGGAGGAGCTGCAGAGGATCCTGGTAGTTAAGCCCGGAAGAACTTGAAGATATCAGGGTAGTAAACTTCCAGAGGTGGAAGGGAAGTTCTGGTGGGTTACTTGTAGGGAGTTGATAGTGTTTGGTTGTCATTAGCGTGCAAGACGCAGTGAGAAGTGAGTGATTGTTTGCATTTTTATGTCAAGGAGTGTTTTATACTGATGTTTAGAGTTACAGTCGTAGGCTGGATTACCTACAGATGTATGTGTTCTAGGACTGATAGAGTGATCGAATGATCATTGTTGTGAATCAAGGAACATTTATATATATATATATATATATATATATATATATATATATATATATATATATATATATATATATATATATATATATGTGTTATTGCATTCAATGCTGATTTTCCTTGTACATGTTTATAGATATATTCTCTTGCTGATAGTGCAACAAAGTAGTATAAGAGTTGATCTACTTGAAGAGGTAGATAGTATCAGGTGGGGAATCAGAAGATAGGATACCACTTGATAAGCTGATGATCGAGTTCTGATTGTGTTGGAGTGCAACCTGATTGTAATAGTATAGAGTATAGGATTCATTATTATTATATGTGTGTATGTATTGTGTATGTACTTTGTCCAGTAAATGTATTCCAATTTGCTGATGTTTGCCCTTGTCCTAGTGAGGCTTCCCAGGAAATAGTAAAGGAGAGAGAGAAAGAACCAAGAACCACTGCTGTGGACAGGGTAGAAGGTAATACTAATAAGTCAAAGGGGATTGAGATCATATCACCTAAGGAGAGAGTGGGGAGTCACAGCGGCTCGAGTGGGTGTGTGCACATGACAACGAGGCTGAGTGTTGGAGTCGCATCCCCTAAACGTGTGACGTTGAGCCCCTCTCCAAGAGCCAGAAGCGCCTAGTGTGATCTCCTAGTGAAGTATAAGCACTCTACCGAGTTGTGGGTTCGGTTGTCCATAAAGAAGGATCAACGTCGACAACACCACCAACCCACCCTATAATACTTAACCTAGAGTAACTTACAAGTCAAGTAACAGTACCTGAAGTGGTCATGTGAGTCTTCAATAATTAGCAGCATGGAGTTGGTGATGAAGAGCAGCCTGTGGAGGACCTGCAGCTGCTGGAGGGGCCGGCCGGTGACGACCAGGAGCCTCGTCGACCACACCAGCAGGTGCTCGTTGAGGGACCACTGGGCGAAGGCCGCCAGGAAGGCCAGGTCGTCACTCACCACCACCACCGTCACGCACCTCGACTCCCGCCGCACCTGTTGAGGTGGCATGAGTGAGTTACCCTCGACTCCCGTCTCACCTGTTGAGTTGGCGTGAGTGATTTACCCACGACTCCCGTCTCACCTGTTGAGGTGGCAAGAGTGAGTTACCCACGACTCCCGTCTCACCTGTTGAGGTGGCGTGAGTGAGTTACCCACGACTCCCGCCTCACCTGTGACCACAACATGGTAGACGTTATGTGTCAGTTATATATCCATGTCAGTAATGTGAGAGTGACCTACCCACGTCAGCTGTATTGTGAGAGCAACACAATATAATACTTAACTTAGAGAATAAATGTAGAATTTGGTAAGGGAAAGAGATAAGGAGGAGGAGAACAGAGTCCACAAGGGAAGATGTGATCACCACAACAGCCAGGACCAGAGAGAGGGAGAGCACAGCCTCCTCCGCTCTCTTAAATATGCTGCCGGGAAGCGTGCCTAGCTGATCGTACAGCCATAAACATACAAGTCTTCACCAACATTCATTATTAGTTACTTTAACAGTTCTAAGAATAGCTGATAACTAGTTCAATATTATATTTAATAATCAACAAGCTCACAGTCTGGATGCTCTTTAAGAAACAAGATTCATGTTATGGGAGGGGGGGTATGTGGGGGGGGGCAACCACATGTTATGGGGGGGTATGTGGTTGTACTGAGAAGGCCCAATAGCTAGAGTCAAGATGTATAAAAAATAGTGGGATAGATAGGCCCGGCCCCAGCTCACAGTCTGGATGCTCTGTGAGAAACAAGATTCATCTTACGTCTGGCAAGGAAGACGAGGACAAATGCATTACCAGGTTTTAAGGAGCCATGAATGTAAATGTTATTGTTAATTAAATATCCCTCTCACGGGAGTATTTGGAACTCAATTTGACCAATGGTTTCCAACTAAGAACCCTGGGTCGTAACACCTACCTATGTCATCAGTAATGTGAGAGTGACCTACCGACGAGTAGTAGAAACCGGACCATAGACTGACCGATTTGATTTTTCAGGGGTCGGTCTATGGCTCCTAATTTTTTCTGTGAAACACAAAGGTCTATGAGCCAGGATATATTCCCATGCGGATTAAAAGGCTCCCTCCAATCATCCTGAAATGTGCTCACCTCGGCAACTGGCACAGACAAAGTCATCCCTAATTTAAAGGATTAACTTTGTCATCCTACGTTAGACGTGTTCTAGTGAATTTATATCCATTCTAAAGTATAGCGACCAAAACTGAACGGCATAATCTAAATGGGGCGCAACAGAAGCAAGACATAGCTGAAGAACAACACCAGATGTTTTATTACTAACACTTCAATAATTAATTCCAGTGCCCTATTTGCCTTATTACGAACATTTATGCATTGATGTTTTTGTTTTAAATTCTTACTAATCATAACTCCCAGATCTCTTTTGCAATCAGACCTCGCAATCTCAACATTATCTAGTTTGTATATTGTAACTCTACCTTCATTACAGTGCCTCTAAACCTTAGATTTGTTCGCATTAAACTGCATCTGCCAATCTTTTAACCATTTGAAAACCCTAGTTCGTCTTGAAGTGATAGTGTGTCTTTTTCCATGTTTATATCCCTCCCGATTTTTGTATCATCAGCAAATTTGCAAATAATGGTGCTCAAACCTGAATCTAAATAATTTATATATTATGAATAACAGAGGACCCAGGACAAAGCCTTGAGGCACTCCATTTACAACATTTTCCCACTCAGACTTAACTCCATATATATACTAACTCTCTGTTTCCTTTCGTATATCCATACACTAATCCAACTTAATATAGCACCCCCAAAACCGTGAGCCTCTATCTTTTTAATCAGTCTATCATGTGGCATTGTATCAAAAGGTTTGCTAAAGTTAAGGTACACAACATCACAAACCTTACCACTATCAACTGCCCCAACTATACTGGAATAAAATGATAGCAAATTTGTTAAACATGTGCCGCCATTAGTAAAACCATGTTGTGAATGTTGACCAGACCACACACTAGAAGTTGAAGGGACGACGACGTTTCGGTCCGTCCTGGACCGAAACTTCCGACCGTCCTGGAAACGTCGTCGTCCCTTCACCTTCTAGTGTGTGGTCTGGTCAACATACTTCAGCCACGTTATTGTGACTCATCGCCTGCATGTTGTGAATCATTTATTAATTTATGTTTTTCAAGATGAAGACAAATGATATTTGCAATTATCGATTCAAGTAACTTGCCCACATTAGACATTAAGCTAATTGCCCAATAGTTTCACGCTAGTGATCTATCTTCTTTCTTAAAAACTGGAACCACATTTGTAACCTTCCATGACTCTGTCACTCTGCCTGAGTATTGATTTATTACCTATGGTAGACAATAGCTCGCAAAGATCCTCTTTACATTCTTTAAGCACCCTGGCGAACACTTTGTCCAGTGTTCTTTGGGGATTTCTATGGCTTGAGTTTCAATGTTTGTTAAATAACGTCCTCCCTGGTAACTGCTAAACTAGTCAACCTGTTCTCGTCCCCACCCACATAGACATGTTCGGCTGAAGGCATAATATTAAGTTACTATTTAGTAATTACAGAGATAAAATATTTATTAAAAATGCTACTCACCTCTTCTATCTCATTATCAGTTATCTGACCTGTCTCAGTTTTGAATGGACCTATCTTTTCCCTAATCTTTCTTCGATATAACTGAAAAACCCCTTAGGATTTGTCTTTGCTTGCCCTGCTATGTGAACTTCATATTTTCATTTGGCCCTCCTTTTCTCTTTTTTAACATTTCTAACCACTTAGACGAATTTTTGTTTTGAAGTGACTAACTCATTCCTAATCCTTTTGCACAAAGTTCTCTTTCTACTGATAAAAGCTCTCTTTCTTTCTTTGGCTGCGGCTTGCTTCAATAGCATTGGACAGTGGGTATTATAGAGGCTCAGAGTTTAGTGAAGAAATGTTTGTACATTAAGGTTCATGTTTGCTATGTTACATAGTTCTGTCTCTCATGCAGTTTATCTTACCAGCATCATCAAACATAGTTGCTCATGGAACCTTCATTGTGAAGTATAATGCATCAGTGTGTCTAAGACTGGTTTTATAAGTATATGATAACTGCTCCAGTGTAGTCAATGAACTGATTGATTCAAAGATAAACGTTAACGTTGTTGTCAAATCTGCTGTCAGGATATTTTTCTTTTACTTACATTATTGTTTATTACATTTGAAAAGCTATTACTCTAGAATCAACAATTCCTATTTCCAAGCTGGTATGTATTTCGCCTTTCTCTATAAAGGCGAAGAGTTAAGTGACATGATAGAGGTGCACAAGTGGATGAATTGAGATAACACAATGGATATTGGTAGGGGTTATCTTGAGATGATTTCGGGGCTTTAGTGTCCCAGCGGCCCGGTCCTCGACCAGGCCTCCACCCCCAGGAAGCAGCCCGTGACAGCTGACTAACACCCAGGTACCTATTTTACTACTAGGTAACAGGGGCATAGGGTGAAAGAAACTCTGCCCATTGTTTCTCGCCGGCGCCTGGGATCGAACCCAGGACCACAGGATCACAAGTCCAGTGTGCTGTCCGCTCGGCCGACCGGCTCCCTGGAAGTACTGGAAGAATCAGCACAAGACAGAACATGAAACATTGGGTGTAAATTGGATAAGTTTAGATTTAGGAAAGAGCTGAGTAAATACTAATTCTGTAATATGGTTGTTGACTTGTGGAACCATTAATGGGTAACGTAATTGACATAGGATCAATTGATTGTTTCAAGTGTAGGTTGGACATAACATGAATAAATTTGAGTGGATTTTAACAGGAACTGCCCCGTATGGACCAATAGGCCTTCAACAGTTTTCTGGATTCTTGTTCTTAACTTCCTACGTTCTTATACATATTACACGCTATGGATTGTTTATCCTTTAGGTTGCAATTTGCTTCATTAACATTGGACAGTTTTTACTTTAGAGGCTCAGAGATTTGTGAAGAAATGTTTGAACATCAAGGTTTATGTTTGCAATGTTTTAGGTCTCCATCTCCCAAGCAGTTCATTTATGTTATGTTGATGTTTTGCATGTTAAAATATTTTTGTTGATTTGTTTCTATATTTTCATAAATAAAGCATGCTTACTGTCTAATTCCAAGTTTTACCATAATTTTACAAGGTTTAAAATATAAAGTTTAATACTTCTGAATTTTTTATACATGCATTAAATGTTAATATAACTCCATAATAACGTAAAGATTGTGTTTAAATAACGTTATATTGACGACATACAAATGATATATGATGTTAAAATGACGAAAATTGGATAGTATACATAATGTTGACTGATTTTTTTTATTTTTAAATATAACGCATGATAATTTTTAATTGGATAGTATACACAATAATTTATAACATTTTATATAAATCTAAATAAATTGTTTCTCAAGAATATGTTTTTAGTTATCTCTAATGATTTTAGCAACGTCAGAAAGTCGTATTTCGTTCAACAGTTACAGAGTTATCTTTCTGCAACCATTTGAAAACCTTCACAAACGTGTTGTGTTTCCTGGGTTGCAAGGTGAAGTGCGTGTTTCAGGGTGAGGGTAGTGTTGGAGGGTGAGGGTAGTGTTGGAGGGTGAAGGGAGAGTTGTAGAAGGAAGGTAGTGTTGGAGGATGAAGAGAGTGTTGAAGAGTGAGGGGAAGTGTTTTAGGGTGTGATCAGTGTTGGGGGGTGCAGGTGTGTAGGCAACTGGCACTGCCAGACCACGTCTCCCAGGTGCAGGTGTGTGGGCCACTGGCACTGCCAAGCCACGTCTCCCAGGTGCAGGTGTGTGGCCCACTGGCACTGCCAGGCCACGTCTCCCAGGTGCAGGTGTGTGGGCCACCGGCACTGCCAGGCCACGTCTCCCAGGTGCAGGTGTGTGGGCCACTGGCACTGCCAGGCCACGTCTCCTAGGTGCAGGTGTGTGGGCCACTGGCACTGCCAGGCCACGTGCCAGTGGCCTGGCACGTGGCCCATTTTTTCTACTTCAGACGTCGCCACACATTTATAATGATAACCACCATATAAACATTTTCCTCTGTCTTCCATGGACTGGGTTAGAGATCTGTTAAACATATAATTTATTGAAAAATCCACCACAGAATGTGATTGTAGTGTTTATAAAATGCTAATCTAACCTACACACAAAAATACATAAATAAACAGATTTACGTCTGCCCTACATAAAGTGTTCGATGTGTCTTTATACATAGTGTCATTAATGTGCGTTTACATGGGTGAAATGCAATTCTGACCAGCTTCCACATATCCTGTATATACGTACAAACATACATTTATGTACAAATCCACGAGCGCCGTGACGAGGGTTCGAACCTACGTCCGAGAGGCTCCCAGACGCTGCCTTAATTGATAGAGCTACGACATAGTTAAAATAATTGTAACCGGAAGTTCTACTGACCATATTCGGATTCTGCAGCCTCTCCGAGACACAAACGGTGTCACGGCCCTTTTGGATTTGTTCATTTCATGCATCACACTATTGTGATTTCTGTGTGTAATACATTTATGTCACTCCTACTTTGACAGGATAAGGTAGCTCATATTTAAATTAGTATGTTATTAAACACCCTAATCACTGAAGGTGATTAGGGTGCATAGTAAACTAATCAATGGAGGTGATTATGGAGTTTTTACAAGCTCAGGTTATATAGTTACATCACATACATTGAATAATTTATACATTACATGCTCAATCTTGGGTACAAGTTTAATATATCATCAAGTGTTCCAGTACTCATATAGTAGTTACAGAGTTCAGCATACCTCAGCCCGGAAGGGCGAAAGTCAGTCAATATGGGACATTTTACAATATAATGGTCGAGGGAGTGCATGTTTTCTCTTTCACAAAGTTGACACATAGTGTATTCGACACTTTCACAAAGTTGACACATGATGTATTGGACTCTTTCACAAAGTTGACACCTGGTGTATTGAACACTTTCATAAAGCTGACAAATGGCGTATTGGTCAAAAAGTTGGCACATAGTGTATTCGACACCTTTACAAAGTTGACACATGATGTATTCGACGCATTCACAAAGTTGATACATGGTGTTTTCGACATTTGGGTTTTGAGAAAGCTGCCAGATACGTCTATATCCCAGGCGTATTCTGGCCACCATAACATCACATTGCCGAGTTCTTGCCCTATTAGTTCTATACATGAATGTCTCCTCACGATATCTATCATAATATTTAATGATACAACTTTCAGGTCTCTGTAAAGTTGTTAGTTCGGTGAGTTTTTCATTAGATACTGGTTTAAGTATCCTCTTTGTCACTGCTAATGAAACACCCATATCAATGCCTACTACTGATCTACTACAGGCTGCCTTTGCTGGTGCAGGTGTGTGGGCCTCTGGCACTGCCAGGCCACGTAGCCCAGGTGCAGGTTTGTGACTCTTACCTTAATGGTGAGGGGCACAAGTCACTCTTACCATTAGCGTGAGCGTGACTTGTGTTCCTCACCATTATTGTGAGTGACTTGTGCTCCTCACCATTATGGTGAGTGACTTGTGCTCCTCACAATTAGCGTGAGAGTGACTTGTGCTCCTCACCATTATGGTGAGTGACTAGTGCTCCTCACCATTATGGTGAGTGACTTGTGTTCCTCACCATTATGGTGAGTAACTTGTGCTCCTCTCAATTAGCGTGAGAGTGACTTGTGCTCCTCACCATTATGGTGAGAGTGACGTGTGCTCCTCACCATTAAGGTGAGTGACGTGTGCTCCTCACCATTAAGGTGAGAGTGACTTGTGCTCCTCACCATTAAGGTGAGAGTGACGTGTGCTCCTCACCATTAAGGTGAGAGTGACGTGTGCTCCTCACCATTAAGGTGAGAGTGACGTGTGCTCCTCACCATTAAGGTGAGAGTGACGTGTGCTCCTCACCATTAAGGTGAGAGTGAACTACCCACAACATCAGCAGCAGGTAAAGCGTGACATAATATCATGAAGGTGATGACAGCCACCAACCTTCCTAGCGTGATGAAGCAGCTGAGGAAGCTGCCAGCGTGTACCGTTACCATCCAAGACGTCCATTGTTGTCCTGAAGACGCCCACACCTCCTCCCACTCCTGACACCTTTGTTAACTGCATCAAATTAAGTCATACATGAAAAGATCATTCTGTTAATGATTGCTGATTTCGGGCAAAGCATTTATAATATATTTATATATCACTCACGTTTATTGCTTCTAATTCACCGTCCTTACATCCATAACTGATTGGTGTGATGAGGCAGCGTCTGTGATGAGGAATACAGAACAGCGCTGATGCTCATCTGTTGACAACACAGCATCCAACACTCCGGCCGTTGCTCTTTGTATGAGACGATCATCTGTGGAAGGTGAGCATCATGTGTAATACTCAGGACATCATAAACTACTGACCAAATGATTTTATATCATAAGGTATCTCAAATGTTTTGTTGTGGTTCCGTCAACAGAAATCATTATGTGTTTAAAGATTTTACAACAACATGAAATGATAATAATAATCATTAGACCAGTATGATAATTCGAAGCAGCGTTTTGGGTCACCCCAGCCGTTTGCCTTATCCTGCTGGACCAAAAGATGCTATAAGTAATTTAACTTGAGATTCTCCTGAATCCATTATGGATCTCGAGGAACCAAGCTAATACCAAATCAAACTTTCACAAATTACCCACGGCGATTCTTCAATGCAATGATGATACATAACTTACAAAAATGTTGGTAAAGGAAAAATTATTAAGGAGGAATTTCTAACTTGTCTGTGAGCCAGAGAAGGTGAACAGAAGTATTAGTGTAAGAAAAGAATTTAATTTCATTGTGTCAATAAATCGTCAATATGTCATGAAAAATATAAATTATATAAATAAAATAACAAAACTACAGGTTTATTTATTTATCTAACGATATTATGAGTTGTATAGCTTTACAGTTAAAAGATTAGCTCCGACATGTAGTTCTTGATGTTAGTTCAGAATTCTTTTCTACGGTCTCACCTAATGCTGTAGGGTGAAATCAGTTACATTCAGTAAGAAGCAAGCAAATGTTCCCGGCTCAGTGCATTTGGATTACATCACAAAACTGTCCAAACTATTAGTGATTATCAGATAGAGATTTCCCCTGTGGGAAAAGATAAAATTGGTTTAGGTAAGTGTAATACAGAATGTGTTTTATTGTATGTAGGTTGGAGGTTGTGGGAAAATCTGACTCCATTATTTGTAATTAAAATGAAAAGATACTTCAATAGCTACGAAGGACCACCACTTTTTTAGAAAAAGTGGAAAACAAAAAAGAGCAAGTGGATACCAAGAACCAATGTTCTATGGATCTTAGTGAAACTGTATTTATCATGAAATAAGAGTCAGATTTACTTTCACAAATTGGGGGATACGAGCGCTGGGATACAATTAAGTTCTAGCACCAATAATCCGACGCTGGTTCAATCGTCAAAAAGAAATATGTATGGAAATTCAAATTATTAGTTCATATATAAATCAAATAAATATAGTTAGTAAATAATATAAATTTCATAAATAACAAGTAAATGGCAATTTGGAAGGAAATCATTTATGTAACTAGATGTTAGTATATCTAATACTACACTACTAGAAAATTAGGTCAGCTTAGCTGTTTGACTGAATTAGTTGGAAACGTGTGGGGCGATAACGACAGCACACTCGTAACACGGTGTCGAGCAAGCACATAGAATGAAATTAATTCTTCTCCTTCACGACGCTCCCAGTCAAGTTGAAAGGCATATTAAATGTAAAGGTTGTCTAGGCTATCGTTAATATCACTACTTCTCATTGAGAAGTGAAAATCTAGATTCTGTTCAACGAAGTTTGTTTTGTTGATTATTGTGTGGCATAACGAACGAGCAACGTACATATGAAAAATGTTACTAAGTGCACTTATATAACAAAAATCAGAGGGAACTGGAATTATGCTCGCCTAGAATTGTGTTGCATGCAGACGTAGACCTCCACGAACTCTGGTACCCGCTGATGGTAGGATGACGTAACTATGAGTCGTTAATTTGGAGTTCTGCAACGCAATAACTTGGCAAGATAGATGCCCACGCTTCCGTGTAATGGCGTCGGAGAAGCAAGTGTTGATGCGTTCTGTAGTACGCTGTTAATGACGTCTCTCTCGCATAGAGGCACGTTGTTAATGGCGTCTCTCTCGCGTGGTGGCTAGCGACGCTCTCGAGTTTTCTTTCCCCTCCCGATTGCGCATGCGCTGCTCTCGATAGGCATCTCAAGCGTAATTGGATTTATATATATCGGAATTAACTAAGGAAAGAAGAGATTTTAACGAGTATTTATGTCACGTTTAATTCTTTCATGTTATAATACTACTCCTCATAGCGTAAGTTGGTTTATTAAAGCTACGTAAATAAATGAGGAATATAAAATGGAATTATTTTACATTCGAATAATTTCCACTGGAATGTTTAACATCAACTAAACAAGGGAGTTCCATAGAGTGAAGGCATGACAAACATTACCACTGACAATTCTACATAGAGAACGCAGCTCTTGTCGGAAAACCCGACACCATTTACTAATATTCAATACAATATGCAAATAATATTGCTGCTGTTGTATATACATGTTAACCCATAGAAAATGTAGCTTGTATTGGAATTTTCCATCAATAGAAAACGTGATATCATTGCCACATAGTGCTATAAATTCACCAGCAATACTGTTGGGAATTATTCTTAAATACAGTAGTGATTGGACTTAATACATTATAAAAACATCTCATTTGAAATAACTTAATTATCAGTATCAAAATAGTGTAAATGTGACCCTTCTATCACTTATTGACATCTGGACAAGGAGAGCCAGGTGTCAGTGGTGAGGGAGGTCAGCTATTGTTAAAAAGGACCGAGTCGGAGCAAATTCCGCTCCTATAATTTTCTTGGACGAAGTGTAATGGAGATCAAATTAGTGCTTCTACCATTATCAACACGCTGTCAAAAACCCCAAGGGAAGTGTCTTTCCGAAATCTTATCTTTTTCATTTCTGGCAAGTAATGTAAAAGGTAGATAGGATTAATTCCGGTTAGATCACGAACGAACGACTCAACCCAGGTAATTAAGCCTTGGTCCTTATCTAATAATATATAAATGTTTCATCTGATATAGCTGTCATATATTAGGATTCCAGCTATACAGCTAGTGCCCTTTGACAGGAACAAGAAGAGGAAACAAGAATTAATCTTGGTACATCGGTTACTAGGGTGTTAGAAGCTAGCCTCACATGAGGATTATATGGAGTCTACATCCTAGTTATACTTGGTGGACTAGACCTACCATACAATAAGATAAGGCACCTCCAACATTTTTTTTTACTAATATATGTAGTTTAATACTGTAGTTTTATTGGCTGCATATATAAAAATTAAATATAACCCCCCCCCCAATGTGTAAGGATCGATTTGTGAGAATTATTGCAGAAATACAGTCCGCTAAACATCATACAAATTGCTATCGAATTATATAAATTAACATCAATATAGATTCTATATAAATCCATGTAAATTAAATAAATATAAATCTCACAGGTCGGTTCCCACAGCTCTACTGACGGTTCTATATAAATTCATATAAATTAAATAAATATAAATCTCACAGGTCGGTTCCCACAGCTCTACTGACGGAGATGTGTGGACAATCATTCAAATAGAGGAAATAATGATAATATAAATTTTAATATTCTTATAAATAACTGAGATGATAAATCTATACGAGAAAATGTTTTCTTATCTGAATTTTTTAGCAGAAATTTCACCTTCTTTCCTTCTCACGCCATTTTCTCTCATTCTCTTTATGCCTCTTATTGTGGAAATACATAAATGTCAATGCATTTAAAATGTCCTTAACACGATTTACTCACATGAGGTTTTTTACAAGTCATTACAGATTTACACACACTCTTGCCTTCGTATACGACAGTTAAACGCCGATGTATTTAAACTGCACCGAGGCTGCAAACGGGATTACAGAATTATAACATGAGGAGTAGAGTAATTCGTGGAAGTAATGATCTAATTGGCCTCAAATCACGCAGGCTTTCATTAAGCAAAACCTGCCAATATTTTTGAGCCCAGAATTGATAAGACCTCATATGTGTGGACTTACCATAAGGAAGAGGCGCTCGCAGGAGCCCTGCAGAGGCGCAAGCAGCGACCAGCAGCAGCAGTGACGTCATACCCATTTCTGTGTGAGTACAACATTTTATTGAACAAATATGCAGGAAAAGATGACAGTTAAATTACATTAATTTTACTATTTGCTTTTTTGGAAATCTGCACAAAGAGCTTGGACCAAATAAAATACAATATGGTGAGAGGTTTTTCAGTGATAAATATATTCAGCTATGGGGTAAACTGTAATAGTTGGTTAAAGGAAAATCTTGCAAGAATCAGACAAAAGGTCAAAGTGAGAAACATTAGAACAGAGGAAGGCAATGATTGTTGGAACAAGGCGATACTAAGCTCTATTATGTTCCTAATATATGTAAATATTTTTACTTATTAAGTATATTAATTCATATAAATGTAAGCTGATTATTCATAGCTTATTCGAACGGTCAAAACAAAAGAGAACTTTGAGATGGAAAAATATGTCAATTAGTGCAGGAAATTTACCAGTGGGATTTAATATTTATTTATTTACATATTTATTAAATTAATTATGTTGAATTTTATTGTTAAATTATTTAATTAGGCAAGTGGACTGTATAGAGAAATTTATGTTACTAATAAATTCCTCACCTACTTGGGGAGGTTTATATTATATAACTTCAACTAGATAGGAAATAACTTGTTAGTTGTAATAATTTCTTTATCATAGTTAAAGTCAATTAATTTTACTGAACTCTACTAATTATTAGTTATATTATACGCCACAGCTTAGCCGTTATAGTAGTAGAAGTCCTAGGTAGCCAAGCTGGACTTGATTTGGTCACATGGTCTATGGCATCTCTAGTGAGTAGGGTTGGACAAGATTCAGTCATGTGGTCTAGCATCTCTAAGAGACGATCCACAAGCTGTAACCTCCATACATCTCAACTTACTTGCAAACGGATTATATAATAAAACCTACTACAAACAATGTGCTCAAATTACATTTAGAATGATTTATGATCACATTAAAATTTACGGTGATATTAAATGCGTTCATAAGGCTTTTGATGTCTGTCTCTCTAACACTGCCTGA